GCATCAATGAATACACTTTCCATCGCATCATCCATCGATCCGTTGGTTGTACTTGATCCATCGGTTCGATCGTTGCTCTTTCCATCGATGCTCTGGTTAGTCTTTCCATCGATCCAGACTTAGTCTTTTCTGCCTTGATCTCTTCATCGGTCTTCTGGTTCTTCATCACTTATTATTTTTCATTACTTTTTACATTTTGCATTATGGAGTCTAACAATCTCCCCTTAAGTAATGAAATAACAGAGTCTAATCTAATCAAATATGAAGAACAGACACTAATCTATAAGAAAAACATCAAATTCCAAATTTTCATTGGATGATGAATTTTCTGTACAAGACTGGAAGCAAATGTACATCAAGGCAAAAAAAATCCATCTCTTCAAGGATTACCCGAGTATATTTCTCTAAAGCGCAGGAGTAATCCTCTGTATGCAATCACCGTTGAGATTTCTTGAATAAAATGGTTTCCCTCTTCCCTCGGCACGTGGCTTCTGCCCAGTCTGTCTCTAATATTTTTCTGAAACCATTCAAGTRTYTCTGTTGAATACTTGAAGGCTTCAGACATTCTAAAGAACTTTTTAACCCCAAGCTCATTCTTGTAAACAAGTCCGAGTTCAGGTTGAGTCAAGACTGAAGCAGAACGTATCTCCTGTAGGTCCTGGAAATCTTCATCTGGTGGACCGTAGGACAATCTCTCAATGCCTAACCTTAAAGCAATCTCAAAATCTCTTTTGGCTCTAAGGTTTACCAGGGACTCCATTGTTTTGACAATAGCTCTGTTAGTCATACCGAATCTTATACCATGATCTTGCCACTGAGCCGTATAACCATATAACTCTATCAAGTCATATGGATTGAGGTTGATAAGGTCGTTCTCGTTGAAGAAGCTAACTTCCCTATGAGCTCTTTCCACTCTGAACTCGATGTAGCGAATAGCTCTGTTGGCAAAGGACTTGACTTTTAAGTCTAAGACTCTTCTTATACCATCGTTYGAARAGRCAGCTCGAGGATCTTGAGTAGTCTGTCTTACGAAGCAATGATGCAGAAGATTCATTGACTCTGGTGATAGGATTGGCAGATTGGTTGACAGGCTTTCTTCTCTATCTTGATACATATATTGATGGATATTTTCCATCATTACTGGCTCCTTGATAGGAACTTGAGGTCTTCTCCTTATTGACTCCATGTTCTGAATTATTTCATCCACTAGGCTCTGTGGAGGATGCCCCGATGAAGAGGGAATATCCGCTTGCACCAAGGGTGTTTTGGTTGTTTGGGTGGTTTCAGGTTCATGGATTTCTTTTGGTTGTTGGGGTGATGAAGGAAGGGTAGTTATAGGTTCTGGTTGTTGGGTTGTTGTGGGCTCTGATTGTGTGGGTGAAGTTGGTTGGTTTGTGGGCTATATTAATGTGGGTGAAGTAGGTTGGTTTGTGGGTTCTGGTAATGTGGGTGAATTAGGTTGGTTTGTAGGTTCTGGTGATATGGAAATGATGAATGGTTGAGATGGGCGAGGTATTGGTGAAGGGGTTAAGGGTAGGTTTGTTTGTGTTGGAGGGGTAGTGGGTTCTTTATCGGTTGAAGAGCTCAACTCGATGGGATCGGTTGGGGGTTATGGTTGAGTGGATGATGGTTGTGGTGCAGCGGATTGTGTTGCATGTGCAGCCGCCGTTGTCTCCCCCTCACGAGGGCCAAGGCCTTGATCATCGGGGTCTTGGTCATCGTGTCGTCTTCGTTTCTGCGGTCAGCTGCTCGAGCATGAGGCATGGGACCTCTTCTTCTTCTTGTTCTTCCTGAGGGATATAAGATACTCCCTCAGGGCTGTCTGTCTTGTGGTCTCCTTCATTGAACGAAGGAGAGTTGATGTTTGTCGTTGTTCATCGACCATCGTTTTAGTGAGAGCCTTTGTTGGTTGGATGGCTCGATGAACAAACTTTGCGCTGATCTCGTTGAAAGAGGATACCAACGCTCTTGATAATGCCTGTAGGTTTGCCTTTGTGGCAAAGGCGATGGTGGAGGAGGAGGCTGTAGGTTGTGATGGAATGGTGGAGGTGGAAGTTGGTAGGGGAATAGGAAGGTTGGCGATTAGATCTCTCACCTTTGCAGTGAAGGAAGAGAAGGCTTCATCGAATGAGGGGCCTGCAGAGGGAGGAGGTGGTTGAGGGGTGGGTTGAGGTATTTGGGCAAGGATGGCAGCGAGTAGTTGGGTGAGAGTGTCTTGGATGGATGTTATTTGATGGGTGAGGGTGGTAAGGGTTTCATCGAATGAAGAGGTGGTAGGTTGAGAAGGTGTGGGAATTTGAGAAATGATGGAGGATGGTAGTTGATGAAGATGGCGAGTGATGGTTTGTAGTTAGGAAATGATGTATGTGAGATTTTCATCAGTCTCAGTTGCCTGAGCCGTGAGGGTGGCAAGGGATTGGAGAAGGACTTGGTTGCGTTGGGWGGCTAGGGATGAGATGGTGTTATGATGTTGGGTGATGGTTTGTTGGATAATTTGGAAGTGGGAAGAGTTGGTTTGGGTTTGGGTATCGATCTGGTTTAGATGGCGTTGAAGAATGGCAAGGGATTGGTTGAGGTCAAAGGTATTGGGTGAGGGTTGTTTATCCACCAGCCCTTGTATTAGGAGTTTAAGGTCATCCAAGGACCGTGTCACTTTGTCAACATAGGCTTGGAACTCAGCCTTAGTGACTAGATCTGCTAGTTGGGTAACCCCTACAGCAACAGATG